TTCTCCTGGAGTTGGACGTAAAGAACCTCAGCCTGGAGAGTCTTCACACCGGGATTAAAGTCGGGGGCACTCTGGCAGCGGCAAACAGCTGTCTGTCACCCATTCTCTATGTTTTCATCGGGAATGATTTCAACCAAATCTTAAGACACTCGCTGACACAAAAGTTGGAGTCGGCGGTGGCGGAGGATTTCCGGACAGGACGTTCTCAGTCAGTGCAAAACATACAAAACCTGTGATCCCGTAATCCATATGAGTGTTGATGAAGATGTGTACTGTATGTGCTTTAACCCTCTTGTGGTCACTATTAATTGGATGAATTAATTGCTTTTTGGGGGGCATCAATGTGTCACCAAACTCCTCAATTATTCACAACCAAATTTTCTGTCTATGTTCATAAATGTAGGATAGAGGAAGTAGTCACAGGGACAGACACCTTCAATCGAGCACAGTCAGCCATTTTGGTTTGAAGCAGCCTTTTTGGGCCGGTTGACTCAGTAGTGCCACAAAAAGCGTTACACAAAAAGTAAAAATAAAAATACTTATTTGACAGATTTTCACAAAATTGGGTCAATCTGTTTTTTGTTTTTTTTTTGAAACAGGACACATGAAAAGGTCTCCACAATCCATTACCCAAATTGAACAGGAAGTTGGTTGTTTCAATTTGACGCAGTCTTTCATCTTTCAAATTCATTTCACCAACAGCTTGTTTGAAACTGTGCTCCAGTTGACCACTTCACTTCCACATCCACTGTCTTGTGCTGCATTTCATTTTATTCAGTGGAATTTTCATTTCCTTTTTACATACGTGTATTGCTGTCACACTGAGAAAAAAAACACAAAACGCGTCATGTAAAAATGTAAAAATCGTGTAAAAATATGATACCTCGTAAAACTTGTCAAAAAGAGGTAATGTAATTTCATTTATTTTTTGCATGTTAAAAAAACATGTAATTATTTGTAAACATATTCATTTCACATATAGATTGGGGAAAGCTAAGTCACAAAATTGTTTTGTTTTTCTCGTCTAAATTTTTCTCAGTTGAATTTTCAAAATACAGCTGTAGTCCTCCGGACGGTAGATGTCGCTGTGGACTTTCGGGTTTTTTTTGTGAAGAGAAAGACGGCAAGCGACGTAGCTAACTTGCCTAACTTCCAACAACAAGCTCGGACTTCCGCTTTCAAAAGCGTCTTTTGAATACGTTGTCATAATTGGTTCAAATCACAACCGACTAGTCCCCTTCGTTCCGTCGCCTATCTTAGCTTTTAGCCTGGGTCCGGACGACGACTTTGCGCCAGGCAGCAAGCTAACAGCTGTAGAGCTTGCTAACTTGAACTTCATTCTCGACGTCGAACAGCAAAGAATTGTGGCCCTTCCCGGTGTCTTCATGTGCGGCTTTTGACGTGTTGGATGTCGATGGACCTTCGCCAGCCTGCTGTGCATAGTTGTTAACCGACTGAGGCTGTAGTTGAAATGGCCAACGCAGCGCCCTCTTCACCTTCTCCGGCCAGCGGCTCCCCTGGAGCAGCAGCAACCGCCGCCGCCGAGAACGCGAGCTCCGGATCCAGCAGCTCGACCGCGGGTGGCGACGGCGGCAACCAGGACAGCACGTTTGAGTGCAACATTTGTCTGGACACCGCCAAGGATGCCGTCATCAGCCTCTGCGGACACCTCTTCTGGTAGGAAAAAAGCTCCATGACGCCGGTGGACTTTTTCAGCTTTCTCAATCCAACATCATTTGAAGAACAGACATCTCTATTATTTTGTGAATTGACTTAGATATCGAGTAAAAAAACCCCAGCAATTATGAGAACATCATCTATCATTTCTTGATATGGTCTTCCAAAGAAATATTTAATTGCAAAACCATACAACACTAAGTCCGAGTATTTCGCCTAAGTATATAATCACACATAAAATGCCAATTATATTTTTAAGAATAAAAACTAAGCATAAGTAAAAAAAAAAAAAAGTACCTCCCGCGATTCAAAACACAGTATAATTGAGTAGACTAATTCGTTTTCAGCCATCCAAGGAGGCTGACATTTTATGTGACACCGCCCCCTACTGCCGACTGAAATTGACATCAAAGTGCCCACGGGCTCACCTGATGAACGTCATTTGACCAAACACAGAAAACAGGTGAGCCGTGACATTCGCAAGGCCATCAATCGGATTTCGACCGAAGGACGATGTAAAACCGTTGAGCATTTTTGCCTTATGCTACTACCTAATGTGGACCCAGCTCGACATCAAAGTTTGATCATTTGGATGGTTCACAATGAAAGAGTATGCGAAGGCCTTTTTGAATATCATTGTTTTGATGCCTTATCTTATGTATCTAATGTGGCATCTTTCTTTCCCAACGCTCCTCAATCTTGATTTCCCATCAGCTGGCCCTGTTTGCACCAGGTAAGCACAACTGTCTTTTTACAAACACTTTAGTATGAGCTATCATCTACAGTTGAAACCAGAAGTTTCCATACAATATATAAAAAGTGACAGTTTGACTTTCATCAAATTAAAGGGTGTTTTTTTTTTTTTCAAGTGGTTGGAGACGAGACCCAGCAGACAAGTGTGCCCAGTGTGTAAAGCTGGCATCAGCAGGGACAAAGTCATCCCCTTATATGGGCGCGGAAGCACCGGGCAGCAAGACCCCAGGTAGGGAGCTGTTCAGTAAAAAACAGCTACGGGTTCATCACGAGACTTGACTGAATTCATGCCACTTTTTTTTTCCCAAGAGAAAAAACACCCCCACGACCACAAGGCCAAAGGCCCGAGCCGGAAAACCGTGGTGTGAGTACCACTGCAAACGAGTGTCATTGAACGCACCGCATGAATACACAAAGCTGTGTCACAGGCTGGATTTACACTGCGGGTCCAAGTGCACAATTCCCTTTTGATGCTGTCTATTTTCCAATACATTTCGAGTGACATACATTCCATATCTGAGTTTAGATGGATGGTGACGTTTTAGATAATGGAACAGTCAACAGTGACGACACGGAAGTAAACAATAATACCGAAATATTAATCTTGTACATACATTACAAAGCATTTCGGTGGCCTTTCTCCGAATTGAGCATTGTACAGGAATGTACTTAGAAAAACATAGAATAGGAGCACAATTTCCCAGGATAAGAATTAATTCAACTGTTTGTGTGTTATAGTAATTAGCCACCAGGGGGCAGTGATGCCAAGTCCTGCCTTAATAATGCATCAGACTTTTCTGGGCATTCAGACATTCTCCCCTTTCACAGGGCTTCCAGGGATTCGGGTTTGGGGATGGAGGTTTTCAGATGTCCTTTGGAATCGGCGCCTTTCCCTTTGGTATTTTTGCCACAGCGTTTAACATAAACGACGGCAGACCCCCTCCAGGTATTCAACGTACGTGTGAATCGATCGCCTCTCAATCCTAATTTTCTCCCCCCTCAATCCCCTCACTCAGCTGCCCCAGGAACCCCGCAGCACATGGACGAACAGTTCCTCTCCCGACTCTTCCTCTTCGTGGCGCTGGTCATCATGTTTTGGCTCCTCATCGCCTGAAGGCAACATGAGATTTATTCATAAGAGACAAGATAAGACTTCTCTTGTTTTTTTTCTTTTTAGAGGAAGCCATGCAACGTTGAATCCTTGATTGTAAATAGAAATAAGAGTTGACTGCGGAATTAACAGCACAATTGATAATAAAGCTCTCACGCATCTTGTGGCACCTTTTGGCAATTCAAACTTTTTATTGCAGCGGGCATCGACTAATCAAATTTTCGCAGGCGCACACTCTTTGTTTTAGTTTGAAGTTCGAGAGTTTTCATAATGACTGTTCATTGAGTTGTTTGATCCCTATACTGTATGTCACTAATACATTGTCACTTTTCGGTGAAAATCGCTGAATTTTTACCCTACTTTTTTTTAAATATTCAAATTGAAATTAAATTTCAATATAGCTTTAAGGCAAATAAAAATACTCACAGAACATGGAGATGTGTGCTTGTGATTAGACATTGACTAATTCAGGAGGAAGGTGTGTTTGATGAAAATATATAAATCACTATATCAAATTGTGTTAATGTTCCGGTGAGGAGAAAACACATTAAAAAATTGCTGCTTTGCAAGCCCAAGCGTGTCCATTTGTCTGATTTTTGTCAGCTTCGGCTCTTAATGTCAATATGAAATTATATTGCAGCCACTGTTGGTAGTGTAACCCATGAAAATGATTTTTTTTAATTGCTTGTTTTACAGTTTGAATCATACAGTTTGGGTAAAAAGGATTTCATTCTACCTCAAAACTTGAAAATGTGACTTGACAAGAATCACATTTCAACAAAAAAATTGAAGGGCTACTGCACTCCAATGCAGCAAATGAATGACAATTTGGATTTTTTTTAAAACGTAGCGATATCCTCATTTTAATTTTTGGGAGCGGAAGCATTACAGACAACTTGCACAGTGTGTATACAAAATGGACGCCAGGGTCTCGGTTGTCATATTATGCATTTCATAACGTGCTGGGCACATATTGTCAATGGGAGACAGGTCTGGACTGCTGGCAGCCCCGTCTAGTACTCGATGAAGACATCTTAGGTCTTACTGAAATAAGCAGGAACGTCCCTGAAAAAGAGGTTGCTCCAAAACCATTATTTACTTTACTTAACAGACCACATGGTTGTTTTACTCTTTGGCCCGGAAAACAACAACGTCCATGATTAACAAAAACTAATTTCAAACGTGGACTCGTCAGACCACAGCACAATTTTTCCACTTGGCCTCAGTCCAATTTCCCTCATCCCACCTTTTTGGGAACCCATTGCCAGAATCAAATTCAAAACGAGAGCATATTTGCTGGGAGAAAAAAAAAATCATCAATTGTTCATTTTCACTCCATACTCAAGAAATTTAAATCAGGTCACCCGTCTTGACGTGAAAACATCTTTCAGTTTTTTTTCATCTTGATAAAAGCCTGTCGTTGAGCAAATATGACTTGAGCAACATAGCAAACGGCGGCTTTTTTTATGGGTCTTAATCCTCTGTAATGAAATGTGAGCCGTTTGAGGCGCACAATGAGCGCAGATAGCATCTGGCAAGCTATTAAAGCCGGCGTGAAAGGGATGAGATGGCGTTTATTGTGATCTGTTCTCAAAAGGGCCGCATGTGAGGAGCTTAGGACACATTGTGGAAATCCATTAATTCTGCCGCTATTGACAGCCTGCTATGAAATCAACTCTGTGCCATGCTGATAATATATGGAAAAAAAAACCCAAGTGGATCGTAAACATGCGACGAGATGGCTTCATCGTCCATCTGTATCGTATCGTAATCCACATTCATTGGTTAATATGGGAGAACTCCGAGATGATGAGTGAACACTTTTTCCTCTTTTTTTTTTTTTCCACCCCACTTCTAAATCCGCCTTCCTAATACCGAGATTTTCTCTGTAAACCCACCAACAATGAGGATCTTTGGCGCTTTTCCACATCTCATTTTATGCAGCCAAAATCTGATGAAAAGGAATGGAAGAAGGTGAGATTAACCTTTTCACAATAACTAGCCCAGATTAGCTGGTTTATGTCTGGAAAGGGGGATTTTACCTTTTTACTGTTTTTTTTTTTTTTTTTAATCTTCCATGTGGTGTTCGGCAAGGAGCCGGTTCCAGTGTTGCGGAGGCTGCCGACATGGAGAGGCAAAAGTTCCCGTTCACCATTGAAGACATCCTGAGGAATTATCCAGACGGGGCACGGGAAAATCCACTGTTGTGGTGTTTATGTTGTTGCTGTTGCTGTTGCTGCTGTTGCGGAGATGGGAGGACGGATCATCCTCATCAAGGTAAGACCCCTGACCAGGATCTGAATTTTGTGTATGTTGTTTTTTTTGCACATAAGAAAATTTCAATAAGAGTTTTGGGATACGTACGTACAGTTAGTGTGTTTGTGTTGTTGCCGTGGACACATGATGACTGACCTCCCCCAAGGCAAGCGCTGCTCCTGTGTCATCCCAACACCACAACCACTCTCTGGGCTTCCCTCCCAAGCTTTGTGGGCACACCCCGGCGTTCGAGAAGAAAAAGAGGAAGTTGCGGCGGAGGCCCAGACGCCAAGAAGGACCCGGCGACACCGAACCATCTTCACGGAGGAGCAGCTGGACGCGCTGGAGGAACTCTTCCTGCAGAACCACTACCCAGACGTCAATGCTCGGGAAAAGCTAGCGCAGAGCACTCGGCTCCGAGAAGAGAGGGTGGAGGTAAGCAGGAGCTACGGTGGCCAGCGAGTGGCATTTTTAAAAAGTTGAATATTCAAGCAAAATGTCCGGCAATAATGTCGAAATTTTTTTTCTGTTTGTTTGTAATAAAATGAAAAATGTAAAATAGTTTTTAATATTTAAATTAATATCTAAAATTAGAGAGATCAGTGCGAAAAAAAACACTGTGTTTGAAAATAAAATTGTTTTAATTGAATAGAATTTTTCAAAATAGGTGCTTTTTGTTGAAATTGTATGTATGATGAAAATATGACATCTGTCTGAACAGACTGTTTTTAACACAAAGAAACCTATTTGATGGTTTTTGAAATTTAGAAAAAAATATTTTTAATAAATTAGTAATGTAATTATTTTAAATACATTTGATGGTTTATTCTTTCATCCCAACAGATGATATTTTTCATATTGTTATTTATTCATTTTGATTTGGAGGTTCAACAGAGAACTTTGTGAATTTTTTTTAATGGTTTTATTGATTTTTTTTAGTAGAGATGAAAGTTTTGAACAGCAACAAATATTCTTGTTTTTGCACTAAAAAACAATAATCCGAAAAATTTGGAGATGGAGAGCTGTATTTAACTCATATTTGTATTTGTTTTTGGCATTTAAAAAAAAATATCTAAATTTGGAATTGGAGAACAATGTATAATTACTATTTCATTTAAAATGAAAATATAAATTCACCTTGTTTTTTTTTTGTTGGCTTTATTCTGTTTTTCTGTTTTCAGGTTTGGTTTAAAAACCGCAGAGCCAAGTGGAGGCGCCAGAGAAGACTCTCCTTTTATGCAGGAAATACAGAAAACTAACTTTGTATCGATCCCCTTCACGTTATGTCACTAACTCATTTACAAACACTTTGGACCATTCAAACTAGATGAATGAAAGAATGTAGATTATTTTGAATGTTTGGGTGAATGGAAATAATGCCTTTCGGTAGTTTAGCATCAAGTTACAACACGCTTTGTACAAACAAATCGTCCTCGTGAACAAATAAAGTTGTTTTGAAAAAAAATGCATTACATTATTAAGAAAAGACATTAGGGTGAACGCACTGTTGGAAACAATGTAAATTGCCATTCTCTTTTCCCCAATTTGATCAAAACATCATCTGCCAATGCAACAATATTAATTAATCACACTCTCCATGAATATTCCTGACTCTATAAATAGTTTTAGCTTATCATATGAAGACGATCATTGATTATAAACATTTCAAATAATAGTAGGACCACATGCGTGCAATAATTCTCTTCGAAGAGGAATAATTAATAATAGCGAAACACTACTACCCCCTGTTGGCTCATGGGTAAAATAGCAAGTAATAATGGACGGCCGTGGTAGTTCTATTATTGTCCTGCTCGTGGCAGTCGAATGTCCATATCGCGCATTTCCTCAAGAAGAAGACTACTTTCTGTGACGTCACACTTCAGTATGTTTATCGCCATTGTTGTTTCCGGTCCTCATCTGAGGAATTCGTCACGCAACGCTTGAGGAAATACGCCATTTAACTCCGAAGAGATACAATTATATTACACGGGGACATCTTAACGACTAATTTATTCACTAGTGCTACGACTGGATACGATTGCAAGGTCGCTGTCGCGAGACAGCCGTTAGCCTAACCGCATTTCGCTTTGCGGCTAGGGGGTCCAGTGGTAGCGCCATGGACGGCAGCGCCAGCGTCAGGAGAGCCCTGTGCGGCACTCTGGTGCCTGCCGCCCTCACCACCATCGCCCTTCGGCCGGAGCCCAAAGACGACGACGCAGGCAAGCCGCACAAAAAAGTCTTGAACGAGGAAGATTACATTGAGGTAGGTCGCGTAAACGTCAACGGTGACGTCATGTTGATTATTGCGCATGCGCAGGTCGAGATTTTAACATAACATTGGTTATACATAGACAACAGAGGCTTCAAACGATTTATTAGAGGCGCATTGATTAAGTAATTAGCAACTCATTATTATTTTTTCAATAATTATTTTGATAATTGATTAAACGTTTACAGACCTTGTTACATTTGATTTTTTTCAAATTTAAATATTCTCGGATTTCTGTAGTTGTCCATGAAAGCAAAGTAACATTTCTTGTAGTTGTTGTTGTTGTTGTTTTCAAAATAAGACATTTGTAAACATTATCTTTTACTTTGGAAAAAAATAATGCGTTATTTCTTATTTATTTAATAATAGTGTTTCTTGTGCGTTGTAACAGAGCTTGGAGAAGATCATCCAGAGGGACTTTTTCCCAGACGTGACCAAACTGCAGGCTCAGAAAGACTATCTGGATGCCGAGGAAAATGGAGACCTGGAGCGCATGAGAGAAATCTCAATCCGCTACGGGAAGTCCAAAAACACACCTCAACCCTCTGCACCCTGTGAGTAGAACAATTAGGGTTGTTTCGTAAAACTCTGGTTTCTTGATTACTGAATTACTTTCTGTTGTGTGAGATGTGACGCCGGCGAGCTTTGAGACACCAGTGGGCCGTGCGGGATCGCCAACCATCTCCAACAGAGGCGGAGATGCCGGTAAGTCACTCAGACCTATGGTTGTTATTCTTCCATGAAATTGGCGTTTGACATCTGTGGATGGTTTCTTGTATGCAGAAAGCGTGGCGGGCGACAAGCGGGAGGAGAAGGAGCTGCCATCGCTCGATCGCTTCCTGACCAAAAACACCAGCGAGGACAACGCCTCGTTTGAGCAGATCATGGACCTGGCCGAGGACAAGGAGAAGATGAAGCATGCGTGGCTGTACGAAGCCGAAGCCGAGTTCAAACAGGTAATACAGTGAACCGCTGATCTTCTCACTCTTCTTGCTGTCAGGAATTGGCAATGTTGTATAACATCACTCTGAGAAAAGGAAAAGAAGACTCTCGCTGACACTGTTTTGATATGTTTTTTTAAAATTGTTTTTGTTTTAATTTTTATTTTTTTTTTTTTGTATTTGCTCCCCAGCGTCATGAGCAGAACCTTGCCTTACCACAACCAGAGAAGGCCGCTCTTGAGTGTGTAAAAGCTGGCCTGGAAACGTGGGAATATAAAGCAAAAAACGCCTTGATGTACTATCCAGAAGGTACAATTAAGTTTAAAAAAGGAACGAACCATCCATGACGTGCAATAGAGCCTCTAACGTTCACAATTATGTCCAATTTCAACCATCATTTTGGGTAAACAAAAATAAAATAAAATCATAATTAAAGGAAGGGCTTGGCTGCTAACAAAATGTTTACTTCATGACTTTCACACTTTGACAGCTACAGCAGTGCCTTGAGTTATATTTGGGCGACTGGAACTAATTTGTGGCATTTGATTTCAATCAAAATTTTGTATTCAATGGCCGTTTTCCATCTTGCGTCTTGCATTAGGTGTCAAAGACGACGACGCGCTCTTCAAGAAACCACGCGAGGTGGTTCACAAGAACACGCGCTTCACCGGTGACCCGTTCAGCAAGGCGCTGAACAAGAGCCAGATCCAGCAGGCTGCAGCGCTCAACGCACAGGTGACTACGTATACACATTGCGCTCATCGCCAAAGGGTTTTAAACGAGACCTATTAGGCACTTTTCCCACTATTGGAAACCGCTTCCCCCTGCCTCTTGACAACACAGTCGTATTTTTCACTGTCGCATTTAAGCTTTGCTGAAATTAACTTCTTTTAAAAAAGAAAAAAGGTATTATGTGCTGCAAAGCGCATGCATGTCTAAATAAGTACTAAGGCCTGACCAATTTGGATTTTTTTTTTTTAGGCCATTACTGACTGATTCAGATTTTTGGCAGAGTAAAATTCTGATAACCGATGAATCAGCTGATTGTCTACAGTGAATAGGATAACAAGGCACAGATGATGGATGGATGACTAAAATAACTTTTGGTCCCTTAATGCTTACAATTACCAAGATATGAATTTGGCTCTATATGTGTGTGTGTGCATATATATATATTTATTTAAAATAAGCAATGTTGTCCCCTGTGATTTTGTGTTGTCCAGTTCAAGCAGGGTAAGGTGGGTCCAGACGGCAAAGAGTTGATCCCGCACGATTCTCCCACGGTGAACGGTTATGGCTTCGAAAGGACGCCCTCCCCCGCCCCTGGTGAGAAACACAACAAACACACTTAAAGTTTGTTTGTTTTTTATGCGGGCTCGATCTCCTCATTATGGTTCTCTTGTTTCAGGCGTGGCCGAGTCGCCGCTAATGACATGGGGAGAAATCGAGAGCACCCCGTTCCGCTTGGAGGGATCCGAAACGCCTTACGCCGAGAGGAACCATGGCCCCTCGTTTAAGGTAGCAGAAAATTCAGCGCCGTTTTATAAAAGCAGCGTGATCATTTGGATACTTACCGGTGTGTTGTTGGGACAGATTCCCGAGCCGGGGAGACGGGAGCGACTGGGCTTGAAGATGGCCAACGAAGCGGCCGCCAAAAATCGAGCCAAAAAACAGGAAGCCCTGAGGAAAGTCACAGAAAACCTGGCCAGGTAAACGCCACACATCTGTTTCAATGCATCAGACGTGGAAAGTGACCAAAGAAATTATTTTTTAAGTACAAGTCTTATTATAAGGATTGTTGTTTTTTTTTTTTTTTTTAGCTAAAAAGACATGAAGAGTTTTCTTATTTATTTATTTTTTTCCCCAAGAAGAAAGTAACTTTTTTTTTAATCTTTTTTTTTTTTTTTTTTTAATCAAGAATAAAATCTTGCTAGAATACGGCTGTATTGTTAAAAAAAAGTCAGTGGCCAAAGCCCTTTTGCCATTTAATGACCATGAAGCACAAAATGTTTTATTCTTTACTTTCAATTTAGATATATTTCCTGCATGTTTAAATAGAGTACAATACACTTAAAATGCCATTTTGCTTATTAAAAGACAAGCTACAAAACCCTTGGTGGTTTTTGGGGTGGTGCAATGGATTAATGGCGTTTCCATTCATTTCAAGTGGAAAAGATGATTTGAGATATGCAAGTGATGAACTGCAGTAACGCAAAATCGATCGTATTATATTTAATTATCATTTTTTGGGGCGGCAGCCTGACCCCGAAAGGCCTGAGTCCGGCCCTGACGCCAGCCCTGCAACGTCTGGTCAACCGCACGTCCAGCAAGTACACGGATAAAGCTCTGCGGGCCAGCTACACACCGTCGCCCTCGCACCGCGCCATTGGCTGCAAGTCCCCGTTCGGCGGGCCGGCCACACCTTCGGGCACACCCACGCCCGACAAGGCCAAGACGCCAGGAGCACACGACGAGTCATCCCTCACTGACAATCTGCTGGAGCTGCCCAAGAGGCGGAAAGCCTCGGACTTTTTCTAAAGGACCTTTTGGTGGACTTTATGCTATGTCGGGAATTCATTCGCTTTGCATTTGTGTTTCGCCATTTTACACAGTGGTGACCATTTTGTATTTATTTGTGTTGTTGTTCACACAAAGCAAAGTAGAACCGGGACAACACATATCCAAACACTGTTATCAAAAGCGCATCATCGTGTTACTCAATGTCGCAGTTCAGAAATTTTCTGACATGTGACAATTTCTGTTCCCTTCGGCATTATTTTTATAATTAAAATACAGTGGGACAAAGTTGGTACAGTGTTACCATTATTTTTCAACCTCCCTTCAATCTGGACAAAGCTTGCCTTTGTACTGTTTTTGTGCTCTTTCTGAAACATTGTGAGATGTCACAAGATGGCTAATAGAAAATTTGTGCTAAGGTGCCATCTTGTAACGTTAATAATTTTATATATTGACGGCATTAATTCAAATGTGTGTCAAAACTGATTCTCATCGGCGGGGGCGGGGCAGGATCGGCTGAGTCGAACGTCGGAGTCGAACGTCGGAGTCGAATCTCAGCCCGGGCTGGTCCGCTCGATGTTGCGTGTTTGGGATTGTTGTGATGGGATGAGGCGGCCATCTTGATGAGAGGACGGCCGACTGGATGTGCAACAAAACCAAACGCAAATGTTCGCCGCCCTCCACCTCACTGCAGTTTAAAGGACTATGGTCGTTCAACGTTTACTTTCGTCGCCACCTCCCATTTGACTGCGGAACCACCAAGATGGGCCAGCGTCGAGGCGACCGTTTAACTGGATAAATATCGGACGAGGTCGGACGACGACCGCCGCAACAGCTCCGCTCTTCCCTCCTGTATATGGTTTACATTTCTGGGTAAAGGAATGACTATGAATGGAGGATAAATGTTGCCAAAGGCTGACAGCGGCAGTTTCGTCCTCTTCTCTCTGCTCTTTGTCCTCACGTTGACGGACCCGCCGCGGCCAGGTAAGCGGCTTCGAGTTAAATTCAACCCGGCTGGAAAAGAGGTAGAAACTGGTTCACGGCGGGGAGGCCTATCCGAGCCGCGGGCTCGAGTGATTTTTCTACCCCGCTGCGGGATGTCTATGCGGCGGTGGCGTGGCTGGACCAAACTGCAAACGGCTTTTCTCTGACCGTAACCGCTTGTTTCTCTTATATTTCGAACTTTTATAGCAGTTTTATTGGGACGTTATGATATCTCTCAATATTTTAGTGTAAGTACGAATCGAATGTCGTGAAGCACTTTTAGCCTCTGTTGAGTTAGCTTTAAGCTAACTCTTAATTTGCATGGAAGATTCACGGTACTGCATCAAAACGCCTTCATCTCCTTTGATCTCAACCTCCAGCATGTAAATATTGGCAAGACTGATTTAAAAAAATGTTGGTGTATACTAGGAAATAATTCATGTTAACAGAAAGAGCTGAAATTTTGTCAATATGTTAAGCATAAAGGCAGTTCTGAGATTTTGTCGTCTTCTTTCTAATTCAAAATAATTGAATGGCCTGTGATCGAGTGTCTGTGCGAAGCGGTGTGCGGCTTTGTAGGGACCGAAGCAAAGAGAAGCATTTTGAGTTGAGCTTGCATAGAGAAGGGCTACGATTATTGCCCGAATAGCCATCTCTGCAGTGCGACCCCCCCATCCGCCTGTTGTTTGTTTGGCTACCGGAGATTCCCGCACCATCGCTGGCAACGGACGGCTGGTTTATCCCGGTGGACAGTTCCTCCTGCGTCTCTCCCTTTCAAGTTTAAGCGGCACCAATCTGGGCAACATATCATGTTCTTGATGTTACTTCATCCCCATGCCTCAAAACCCTCAAAAGTATTTGTCATAGGTTGACAAAAATACGCCAGCTGGCTTTCAACACTTTTGGAGTGGCCAAAGATGAACTACCCCGCCGTGTCAACGCCGAAATACTGCATGAAAACAAGGCAACAGAGGAGATTCCAGTGTGCATCGTATCTAAAAGTAGATGCAGAAAACACATTTTTGACAAGGCAGAGCTAATTTTTCTGAAAGGAGTGCAAAACGGACCAGCGTGATGTGATCACACGTAAGAGGCAAAACGGAAAAATAGCGAAAACGAGTCAGTTTTGCACAACACTGCACCACACACGCGTCTTATTGACTAGCAATGATTAGGCTTGAGAAAGCGGTTTCAAAATATGCTTTCAAGACCGAATGAGGGTTCCAAATGTCGGATTTTAGGCTAGCCAGGACTGCCCCCCGTCTGTCACAATCGCAATTCAATCTTCATTCATATCAGTGTTCTACAATGAACTTAAAAATGACAAAAATTGAGTTTGCCCACTCCAAGTCTATATCTATAGTTGGGTCATGTTTTGCGGGTGCTTCGGCGAATGTTTTTTTGTTTGTTCGTCAGAACCGACGACCTTGGCACCAAGTCCACGCTGTTTGTTTTTGTGTATTTTAAGTGACATTTGTCACACTCTGATTTGAATCTGGGTCACGCCCACACTCCAAAAAGTCATGCCACCTTGCACATCCGTGTTTTGCAAACCTTTGTCTTTTTTTGTTCACAAGTTGAGTTGAATGCCAGGTTGTCGGTCACTGTCGTGGAAAAGTTGCTCAAGACGTCTTTGCTGGCCCTAAATCTTAAGTCGTGAAGAGATTTGTGGGGAGCGCTCTTGAGCTCCAAAATGAGCTCAAAAGTGGTTTGGTTAAATCGTGGTTGGGTTAGTTTGTGTGGAAACGATGAGTCAGTGAAGATGAATATACAATGTTCATCGTTCACAGTTTGCACCTCTCTGAGATAGACGTTTTTTATTAGCTCTTTTCTTTTATTTTTTTAATAGGTTTTTGCAGTATACAGGCAGTGTGGCAGTCTGTGATACTGTCGGTTCATTCTTAAAATGAGGTACCATTGTATAGAAGTCCCTGCATTGTATTGTGAGTGGCGAGTTCCCTATTCACAAAATAACATTCTCTGATTTTTTTAGTCTTTTTTTTTTTCTTCCCAACATAGTTATAAGGCCACTGCGGTCCAAAATGTTCTTCATTACGGTGACCAGCTTTTTGCCAAGGTAATCGACGCCTGCTCGCTAATGCACCCTCAATCCACTTAGCGCTAACCAAGCCGCAGTGACGCATGGGTGCTCTTTAGCGGACCCTCCAAAAGTGTCTTTTGGCACCGCCGAGGTGTTGGCGGGCATTAAGTGTTAAGCTCGCCGTTGAAGAAGCTCCGGTTGAGCACAGGAAGCTGAGAATGAAACTCGACCCGCCTGGCGAGAGAGAAACGCACTTTTGAATGGTGTTTTGATGACCTGATTTCTTGTGCTGGCAAGTTGGCCGCAGTGGAAGTGAGCCAATTGAAAGGCACCTGGCGAAAGATCTGCTGTGGGATCTTGCTTGAGGAATGAAATGATACTGTGTTTTTGGTTACCAGTACGTGGGCACAGTTCGGCACAAAGGAAACTGTTCTCCTCCGAAGCAGCTACGCAAGACACAAGTCGAATCCACAATTCGTCACAACTCCCCAGTTGTGGTTTACAATCAAACGAAACTATCGCCTAAAACAACGAGAATTCAACATTGACCCATTAAGCAACAGAATCCAGACATTTTTATCCCATCTCATGGGGCGGCCATTTTGCCACTTACTGTCCACTGAAAATGATGTCACAGTCGTCAGGGTTCGGGTGACGACCAATCACAGCTCATCTGTTTTCTGCGTTGGGCCATGTGGCGTTCTATCGCTGAAACGACCAAGCAACTGCATTCTTGACAAGATGAAGCAACTGCATTTTGTATATTAATGATTATATTTTAATATTGGCCCTTATGTGGAAACGAGCTGCTAAAATGGCCCCTGGCTTAGCCCAATATGCGCTTCCAATGGAGTCGTTTTGCTCGATTTTGTTTGGCGCCGTCAGGGAAGTTTTACTTTTCTTACTTTCATTTAATTATTGTGGCTGAAGATCGTGAGTGTAGACTAATAACCCGATCAACGCACAGTAAGTCAGTGTTAGGTAGTTGCTTGTTAGTTGACTCAACTGTTTCTGTTTGTTTCAGGTGCCCGGCTAGCACTGGCAAGATTATTGTCAGGTAAGCAAGCAAGCAAAAAAAAAAAAAAAAACATCATTTAGCGTAGTTAGCGCGTAGTCGCCTTTAGTCAGTAAAACTGGCGTTTCGCACTGTCTGACAGGTTTTTCAATCACGCGTCTAAATTTAGGGTGCCGATTTTTCCGCTTTATCACAAGATTTTGCCGTGTTCCTTTGTCTCCATGGACTAATGTGATGGGAACTTGCGGCGGCGACCGATACATCGTAACCGATGACCCAGCGGGATAAATTGCTTGACTAATCGATCCTACTTCTGTCAACATATCCCAAGGATGAGCAATTTTGTCTGCAGCGGTGGTTGCTTTCAAGTGCCTCAAACTACATTTGAGTTGAGTCGGCTGTGCAAGCTCTGCTCACATTTTGATGCTTCCCACTTGGGTGCTTCTTGTTCAAATTATTCAACAAGTTTGTTGTCTCGCTTTGTTTATGACCACATGCCTTGTACAACGGCTTCCTCCCCCACACCGCTGCGGCGATAACACCACAAAAGCGTTGGAGAGGCACTTCTCTTGTCAAAATATGGTTGTTGTTGCTTTTACTTTCTGTTTACTGCTTACTTGTCGAGATTTATTTTTTCAGGTCGCTCTTTGGAAATGTATCCCCCAAAGCCATTGTCACATGATCAAATTCAATTTCATAGGCTTCTCTATCACGAGGAGGCTGACAAAAAAAAAAGTCTGAAGAAACTTTTCCCCAAAAAAAGACACAGGAAGTCTGCCATTTTTTGCAGTGCTGATTTTGGGCTTATTGTTGCCGTCATGGTCACACCCTTTGAAAATTGGCTCAATAGCGGCTCTTAAAATTCCTTGACAAATCAGCTCCGGAAGCCAATACAGTATCACGTTCCAACATGAAATTTGCTCGGCGTGTAGATCATGAGTAGACCACAAAAAAAAAAAAAAAACGTGAAGTCTGCCATTTTGCTTTCAAGAATCCATTTTGCCGTGTCCAGGGGTGCTAAAATGACAAACCGCTCAGAGATGAATTACATAAAATTGTGAATTGCTCATATTTTGATCATTTGCTCTGGGCGGAGGAGCATGGCAGCAAAGTTTGATGACTCGCCATAGAACTCGAGAGCCCCATGATTGCTTCAGGCTTGATTTTTTTTTTTTTTTTTTTTTTTATGAATTTATTTTTTCCATTCTGCCTTTTCACTTTTATTTCGACATGGCATTTACCATCGAATTTTCCGCACCACTGGTCTTCAAGTGGAGTATTTCCTTCAGTTGTGCTCACGTGATTTTTTTTTTGTGTGTGTGTGTTTCAGAGCAGCGCTGCAGCCCCGGGCAGTTTGCCTGCCGCAGTGGGAAGATGCAATGTATCCCCATATCCTGGCAGTGTGACGGCTGGACGGCCTGTGAGGACCAGAGCGATGAAATGGACTGTCCCCGTGAGTACTTTCTCGCATTCGCTGTTTCACAAGTGAGGTTTGGTGTTTCACTGTTTGGTGTACTCCGTTTTCCTCCTACATTCCAAAACCATGCACAGCAGGCTGATTGAACACAAAACATTTTTTTATTTGTTTGCTTTGCAGCCATAAAGGAAGAACGGTTTCGTTTCGGCCGGGGTTACGACCACGTGGAGGATGTCATTGGCGTGGCTCAGCCTGTGCGCTTCAATAGTGAGTGTCCCTTTTGTTTCCACAACGAGAACTACGGGCAGGCGGCCGACACGTGCCAGAAGGTGGACGGTTCCCTGGCCACCTTCGTCACCGACGAGGAGCTGCAGTTCATCCTCAAGATCGAGGTGGACTTCGACGACGAAGTGTGCAAGCTCAGAGACCAGTGCAAGTGAGTGGCGGACAAGAAAAAAATGTTGTCATTGTAATTAGGCCTGTCGCCATAATTGCTACAATCACTTATCGTCCTGTGGATAAAATGGACACGATATTTCTTGTCCGGACTCGATAAATGGTCATTTACATGCGTCTTTGGTTACACGCATCATCAACATTTTTTCGTGCTGCTTCTTCCATCTCCCGAGTGTGTCGTTCGCCGCTGTAAAAGTCGGCACTCGCACACCAACACGCTTTTTTTTTTGCGAGGGGGGTTGTTCGACTGTTTCGGTTCAGTTCACGTTGATCCATAGGCACTCGTAACTCTTTTTTTTCTCTCAATTATTAATGAGGCAGAGTTGTGTACAGAAGCGCTAATGCTAGCCAGGGCAACCATGCTTTCCTTTTCCTCTGTACCATGTCACTGCTTGTTTGTCAACTATCGCTTCTGCGAGCATTGGCTGCCTCTGCCAGGTATTAAAAGAGACCGGCGACTGGCACCATATACCCATTTTGATACCCCCGTCATGTCAAAAGTCCAACCAAATGTCGGTTGCCAAAGCGTAAGTTGCATGTGTTTGTCCTGCAGGTTCTGGGTGGGCTACCAGTATGTGATCACCAACCAGAACCACTCTGTGGAGGGCCACTGGGAGGTGGTTTATAACGGTAATGGGAACACCCGCTTGTTCAACTTTTGACTTTGAAATCAGACACATGGACCAGGCCCCCCAAAAAAGCTGACATAAATTATTCACTCTCATTTTCTAAAATGGTATTATGGAGAATTATTGACATTACAATTAGTGAGCTACTTGCGTCATTAAGTTTCCAACAAATATTTTGATTCTAATGAAAATACTTTCTGTCCAGAACTATTGAACAAAAGGTCCTCTCTTTTGCCCAGTTTCTAACAAAAGCCAGTGTATTTGTTATTGATTGATTGATTTATTTTCCAGGCCCCGTGCAGGTGTTCCTACCGCCCGACGGCCTCCCCAACCTGGGTGAGGCCAATCAGGACAATGTTTTCTGCGCCCAGCTGCAGCGTTTCCAGCTGAAGAGCATGAACGAGCGCGGCCTGCACAGCTGGCATGCCGAGAACTGCTACAAGGAGTTTCCCTTCCTCTGCAAACGCAGTACGTAACTTGGCAAAAACAAAAAAAAAATAACACCATGAGCAGAGCGCTCAGAGTGCTTCATAATGCGAAACACGCTTCGAAGCCTGGACACGCCTCTTAACATCACGACTTTTTTTGTTTTGCCACAGAGCAAACGTGCGTGGACATCAAGGATAACGTGGTGGGCGAGGGCTACTACTTCACACCCAAAGGCGACGACCCGTGCCTGAGCTGCACGTGTCACGACGGCGAGCCCGAGATGTGCGTGGCCGCGCTCTGCGAGAGGCCGCAGGGGTGCCAGCACTTCCGCAAGGACCCCAAGGAGTGCTGCAAGTTCACCTGTCTCGATCCAGGTAACGCAGCACAAGTTGGGCAAAACATTGTTACATTATAATTATGTTTGATTTTGCTTTTAAATAACTTAATCAGGCTTGCAAGGATTTTCTTTGTGTTGTAATGCTCCCTGTTGGTCTCAGATGGAAACAGCCTGTTTGACTCTATGGCCAGCGGCATGCGTCTGATCGTCAGCTGCATCTCGTCCTTCCTTATCCTGTCCCTGCTGCTCTTCATGGTGCATCGCCTTCGACAGCGACGACGTGAGCGCATCGAAACGCTCATCGGAGGAAACTGTGAGCACTAAAACATGCATGTGTAGTACCTGCATTCATAGAAATTAATATAACATAAAGAAATTTGCGTTGTCGTTACTGACATAACGTGAAATGCCATAGACCTGCTGAAATTAGCATTGATCATGTTACACTCATCATAAACTTTTGCTTGAATGTAATATGTGTGTGTATTTGACAGTGCATCACTTCAACCTGGGCAGACGCGTCCCGGGCTTCGACTACGGCCCAGACGCATTCGGGACGGGGCTCACGCCGCTGCATCTGTCCGATGACGGCGAAGGAGGCGCCTTCCACTTCCAGGAGCCCCCGCCGCCCTACGCCGCTTACAAGTACCCTGACATCCAGCACCCCGACGACCCCCCGCCTCCCTACGAGGCCTCCATCAACCCCGACAGCCTCCTCTACGTGGACCTCAGTAAGACCACACAAAAAAGCAACAGTCAACATACTCAAACTTGTTGTTGACTTGGCTTCATGCATTTTTGCATGGAGTCTTACATAAGTAGTCTCGGGCGAAACGTGACACACCAACTTCAAATTATTTCAAAAGTCTCAAGAATCCAGTCTCAAAATTGACCAGGAAGTTGGCCATTTTCTGGTCGTTTTAGCCAGGAATTAGCCCCCAACACGCGTCATTTTTGAAAATGTCTCAAGGACTCGTGACTGAAATGAAACAAAAAGTCCACTGTTTGATTTGAAGTTGCTACTTTAGGTTGAATTTGGTTATTGACTCAAATCTGTTCAATAACACTCAGCACCATTTTTACCATTTGGCCATTCTTGCAAAATTATCCCGTGACACCAGCTTCACAAATCAACACAAAACTTGTTTAGACATGTGTACCATAACAGGATGTACGAAAAAGTGATAGACATGCCTATAATCAAAAAGCAGGATAGTTGGCTATTTTGGGCAAATCCAGTCTGAGGTGTTTTCTGATCTTAATGGGGTTCCACTGGTTGAGATTAGGGGGTTTTGTGTTGTTGACATTGCAAAAGACATTTTCATCAGGATACGGATGTATTCAAAACAAGGGTGTTTGAAGAATTTCTGCCATTTTTGCAAGTTAAAACAGGTCGACAATTAAATGAAGAGGCTTAAGATGGTGCCATGGGGACCGCCCTTAACATGTGCCTGCCCCCCATAGGACACAGCGGCATTCCAGTGTTGCCGGGCCACCACGTGACCACTGCGGTGGACGGGCTACAGCAGGCCCTCGACGCCCCTGCCGCCTCAAGCCCTGCGACGGTCTCCCAGGCCCGGGAGGACTCGGTAGACAGCAGCACGCTCCTGGTGGGACCCGACACCCCCACCACGGACGGCCCGGCCGCCCTGGGCACCGCCACGCCGTCCGACTGTGCCTCGCCGTCCTGCCTCAGCACGGCCGTCTAAGACAGACAGACAGACAGGACTGTTTGTGTATAAAGAACACTAATTTAAGGCTGCATTTTTACTGATCTCATTGGTCCACACACCCCCAAGTCCCGCCTCCAGGATGTAAATAAGCCACTTGGGTAGGTGAACATCTCACCCGAGCTTACGCCATCGTGCTCCTGCTTCGACTCCATTCTATCTTACACTGTATGGATTTTGCAACACGGTACGTATAATTTACGCGTCCTTTTCTATGGTTTTCGACAAATGAATGGTTGATGTAGATGGAACCTGAACGCATCGTGAAAATGAAAATATTGAATTCTACCCAACTCATCATTCAGACAAAATTTCCCCCACCTTCTTCCTGATGGACACTTTTGGGTCAACAATCATCTCCCTGTTGGTCCCCATGTAAAATCATCACCTCATTCTGGAAAAATGTGAACTTTTTTTTCCACATTAAAAAAAAAAAGATAGATGATGAATTACCATATAATGACATTTTCAAATATGTTTTTATTGTGGGTATGAACTATCATTTTGTTAACCATACACAATATTTCCCCCCCACAAAAAGGACAAGTTTATTCCCCATATTTTTTTGTGTTGAAATTACAACTGCATTACAAATATTTACACATCAAATTGTATTTTTCCACCCATTATATGAATTTTTGTGGTAAAATGACTTTTTTTCGGGCAATTATCCAACTTTTGTGCAAACGACGTTTAATTCCCCCAAATCAGATTTTTTTTTAACCACCCAACTTCCTCTCGCTTGCTCGATCTTCATCTTTTTTTTTGGGTGTGGAGGTCGGGGGGGTCGACAATCATCTGCCCATCATCCATTTCTGGTGATGTGCTTGTTTTCCACACCATTTAGTTTTGGGCCGTGACAATCCCTTAGTGGAGTGCATGTGTTTTCTTTTTTTGTCGACCTGCAGTGCATGTTCTTTTTATTTATGTTCTTTGAAGTCTAATTTTTTGTACCGAGCCCCAGACATGAATTGGGGGACACACAAAATTACTACATTTAAATTTGTAACCATGAAAAAGTATCATGGACCCAAAACACGACTTTCTTGACTACCGTGAACAACTGGCACATCTGGGTAAACAAATGGATCGTGCCCGGACTATGAACTGCACATCCTCTTCTTTGTAATGAGGGTGCTCTCATTTTGCTTACCTAAATGTCCAGGAATGATCATTACAGTACTTTTGTATTTTGTGTGCACTTTATAGATAATTTGTGGCCACAAATTAGTGTTTAGTGAATAAATTATAAAGTCTTTCTTTTCCAACCCCGCGCTCCCACAATGTTACATGTGTTGCTACTTCTGCAGGCATGCTGGGATAGTTTTTCCTGTTTTCCAACACCACCCTGGATGCGAGCAGCGTAGTTTTCCCCCCTTCTTTGATTTGATTGAGTTTTTATTTTTCTTCCTTTTTAATGTATTTTGTTTTGATTCTTTGGTAGCCTTGAAATGAAGCAATGCTCTTGTTTGTATAGCAGGCGTTTTTTCTCAACTAGATGTACTGTACGTCTAATCAAATGCCAAATAAATGAGACACCGTGCAGGATGACTCAGGCTCCCTTTAATATGAAATGTACACAAAAGAAATTCTCACACTTTCTCTCTCTCTCTCTCTCTCTCTCTCTCTCTCTCTCTCTCTCTCTCTCTCTCTCTCTCTCTCTCTCTCTCTCTCTCTCTCTCTCTCTCTCTCTCTCTCTCTCTCTCTACATATATATATATATATATGCCGCGAACCTTGTGGGGATAAGCGGATCGGAAAATGGATGATAATACAGTACTGTACTGTATATATGCTGGCGGCAGGAGATAATTCCGGGATAGTGCGAGCGGTCTATCTATTGGCTGAGTGAGGAGATACTTCCGGGATAGTGTAAGCGTGCCTTCTATTGGCTGAGTGAGGATGCGAGAGTCAGGTGACACTGATTGCCTCCGACAGAAAACGACAAGAAATCTGTTTTTCACCGTTTCATTAACTTTTTCACCATTATGTTTCGCAATAACGTTGTGAATTGCACCCCTGCCCCCCACCCAAAATTTTTTTTTACAAATAACAGTTCTATCGTAGATGTCGCCTTCGATGTTCGCAAAGACTTGTGGGTAAAGTACAGCCATAGAGCGGCACGAGAGAGCTGACAGAAAACAACGTTCCTGTAATGAGCAATTAGCCAATGTTTATTTCTGTCCCAGCTAGATGGAGTTTGCTCCTCGTTAACTGCTGTTCGGAAGAGTAACGAGCCGGTTGTGTGCTGTGTTCTCAATGCGCAATATGAGCATCAGCGAGCATTCCCTGCAAGCTTTGTCCTGGAGGAAGCTCTACCTGAGCCGGGCTAAACTCAAAGCTTCCAGCCGAACCTCCGCTCTGCTCTCCGGATTCGCTATGGTGATGTCTTAAATGCCTTACAGATCACACAATAGTGTTCATTTACCGATTCAATTCTGAAACAAAATGTTGTCATTGTCATGCTTAGTCACAAAATGCATCAAATCTATTTACAAGTTCATAGTTAATGTTTCTTTTATCCTTGCAGTAATCTTATAAAATCCCCTGTCTCTGGAAAATGTCAGGGAAAATAGACCAATGTAGATGGTAAATTTAAGACTGAAACTTTTCAGCTACTATAGACCAGTTATAGACCAGGGATGGGCAACACGCCCACTTTGAGTCCCACCACCATTTTTTTTAACAACCCTAAAAAAAGAGATGTGATTTGCATCACATTCTGAAGTTTCCCCAGGCTCACTTGGGTTCTGTCTATATGTTCAGGTGGCCATGGTGGAAGTACAGCTGGACAACAACTACCCCTATCCTCCCACCCTGCTGATCGCCTTCAGCGCGTGCACCACCGTACTGGTGGCCGTGCACCTTTTCGCTCTGATGGTCAGCACATGCATCCTGCCCAACATCGAGGCGGTCAGCAACGTGCACAACATCAATTCGGTGAGCGAGTCGCCACACGAGCGCATGCACCGCCACATCGAGTTGGCCTGGGCCTTCTCCACTGTCATCGGGACACTCCTCTTTCTGGCTGAGGTGGTGCTCCTCTGCTGGGTCAAGTTTTTGCCCGTCAAACCCAGCAAAGCCGGCAACAACACGGTGTCTGCGGGCGTGGCCGCCGCCATCACCTCCACGTCCATCATGGTCCCCTTCGGATTGGTGTTTATCGTGTTTGCCGTCCATTTCTACCGCTCGCTGGTCAGCCACAAGACAGACCGACAGTTCCAGGAGCTGGAGGAGCTCTCCAACCTCACCAGGCTGCAGAACCAGCTGGACAATAGAGGCGAGTCCATTTTGCATTCGCCAAGCTCACATTTCCCTTAAGATGTATGTGAGAAAGCAGTCAGGAGGTCATGGATTAAAAAAAAAAAAAAAAAAAAACAGCACCTGCTGTGCTTTACTGTGCCTATTGTGTGTATGGTTTACCATTTAAATATACTCAAATTTGGCTCGATGATCAGTATGTGTGTACCCAACTTGTGACATTTTCGTTCCTCTCCAAAAAACGTCATTACCTCCCGAGTGAATTGTGATGTTTATTTTGCTATTATTTGAACGATGTAAAGACGGCATATCGCATGAAACTTGAAATCACAAAAGTCTTAACTGTCAATGTGATTTTTTTTTTTTTCACTTGAGCCCTCTTGTGTCTTGCCTGCTGTTTTATCAATTATCATTTGTGGTAATTACTTTGATTTAAAATGTCATCATTTTGATCACTTGACTGAATTTAACGCAAAAAAAAAAAAAAAGGTACCTTTACCTCTTGGGAGTGAGCCCCACTTTGTACACTGGACTCCTGCATGCAGTGAGATTTAATTAATTTATTTTTTTAATACCCAAGATGAAAGAAAGTGGCATGTGTCTTGAATGAGAAACTGTAATACTGTGAGTGTGACCAATGTACTGTAAATGTCTTACAGTTGATTTTGAGCACCAAGAAATAATAAAGCACCCGTGGTACGTGCCTGATGGCTTCGGTGGCTTTTATAATTATCACTAGATGAGAAGACATACAAATGAGTAGAATTCATCAATCAAGGTGAACCAACTGGGCTTCTTGTAGAACCATCTGCACATCCACTAGCATTACCTATGAGGAAAAAAATGGTGTACATTCAGATTACAAGGGTTAAACGTTACTTTGTAAGATTACACCAATTGTATCTAAGTGTACTGTGAAATTTCCCCCTGGATCAAGAAGTAGTGCATACTACAAGTCAGTTGTGACATTTTTGTCCCCAACGTACCTGTGGAATTGGACAGTGTTCGTGGTCTCCCCCACAGTCCTCCAGGGTTCCGCATTTGGGTTCCCCTCGCACCCAGAGGCCCTCGTACAGCTGCCCTTTGTCACAGTAGTAAAACTTTCCATTCCCGCATTTCTTGCCGTCTCTCCAGGAACCTTCGTACCAGTTCCCGTTTGCTTGAGACAGACGGACGGGAGTCAAAATTGGAAAGATGTGATCTTCACCTTAGGATGTGCTGTGGAACCTCCAAAGTGAAACACAATCCGCCAGACCAGCCAGGAAGACTGATACTCCCCCCTTGTGGTGATTTATAGCTATAGCAGGTATCAATGTGTGTGTGTGTGTGTGTGTGTACTGAAGCTCATCAGTATATTATGAATGTGCCAATGTCGCATTTTGTTCCATTTCTTGTTCTACGGTTATCCCCACACTTTTCCTCTTCCCTATATGGTGCCACTTTTGGGATGTTCCACTTTCGATGTCCCTTGCATTTTTTCATGGAAGAAAAATGAAGCAATAGCAGTGTTACCATAGCGACAGAGACCGAGCCCATGCTCGTTATCCTTCATCCACTCTCCCTCGTAGACATCTCCGTTTTCAAAGAGCATTCGTCCAAAACCACTACGCTGGTCCTCGCTCCACTGGCCCTCATACGCTGAACAACTGTTGTAAAAGTATATCCCGTGACCCTAAGAAAAGAAGAGCGCTGTATTTTAGGACTTCCTCACAAAACAATGAATGGACTGAAAGTAAGAAAAAAAAAACTCTGCCCTTATGTCACAGACGGCCTAATAATGTTGTTGTATCATAACAGTACGCATTACGTACATGCTTTTTCCCATTTTTCCATTCACCACAGTACTTCTTTGCATACGTCTTCGTGTGAGGGAGAAGTACACTATATGTGCCGTATCCGTCACGTTTTCCCATCTTCCACTCGCCGTTGTAAATGGCCCCGGACTTCTTCCACACCTGAATTCCTCTCCCTTGAATATTAGCAATTAATGTCCATCAGTGTTGTTAATTTTTTTTTTCTTCCTGTCACGTGTTACACCCACCGTGCTTGTTGTTGTTGAGCCACTCGCCGGTGTATTCGTCTCCGTTGGCAGAGAAAACAGAAGCATGTTTTCCGCATTTGTTTGATTTGTTTTGCAGCACGGCTGAACGTGTCGGAGTCCTTCGAGCTGCTTTCAGGAATGGCATCCTCGCACCAAAACAGAATTTGCTGCAGAAATAACATCATTGATCTGATAATAACGGTCCGATTTGTTCGGAAATCGGCAATTTTGGTCTATATTCTCTACTCATCTCAACTAGCTGGAACTTGTAATCTAATTTCGTTACTTTTGGAATAAAGAAGAATATAAGTTTTTTTTAAATCAAGTATCCAATAAAGTTTTATATTTTAACTTTTGCAAGGTGACTGGCAACTAGCAGGGCAAATATAGAAAAGCATCCACACCGAGGAAAAATATTCAGTCCTCAATGAACCGAACAAGCATGTTTTTTTTTCGGAGAAAACAACACTAAAGTACGGGAAATACACGCAAACTCAACAAATTCGAACGCAGAACTTCATTAATGTCAGGCATATGTGTAAATCATTATTTCACCGCACCACCTACAGCTGCTCTCTGTCTCCGAATAAGTCAAATCAACAACAAATTGTACCTTCATAAACCCTTTTCTCCCCGCTGAAAAATCTCTGCAAGCTTGTTTGGAACCGAGAGGAGATTAATTGTATCTTAGCAACAGAATCGCGTGAATAATTGGTTCTAATTTTATGTTTTTTTTTTTAAATACATAGATTCATATCTATTTTTTTAAAGTCGGTGTGTGTATTTTAGTCACGATTTTGTTTTCAGGTGAGTTTATTTATATGACACGAGTTTCTTGTGACACCATGATGTGCGCATGCGCAAAACGTCTTGCATTGCAATATGTGCATGCGCAGTACTGTCCAATGAAAGCGCGCCCGAGTGGACAGTCATCCTATGTGGAGTTTCTCTCTCTCTTTCTCTCTTTCTTTCGCTCTCTCTCACTCCCCCCCTCTCCCCCCTTTTCTTTCTCACTGCTGCTCATCCTCTTTACTGGACACTAGCACCATGTCCATAGCCAAGTTCCAGGCGGAGTGGAAGGAAATCGACGAGGAGTATCAACAATTGCAGGTCACTCTTTTTTCCTCAATATAGATATTATCGTTATTCGGTGGGTTAGACGCCGCTGAATCGTGCGGTGGGTGACACTGACAGCTACGACTGCACTTGAGCTGGAGGTGCTCACTTATTCTGAGCCGGTGCTCGCCATTCATTCTCATTAAAAGCCACTTTTGAGCAAGTTCTCACGGGGAAATTAGCTGAAATCGTCGCCGGGTGTTTGTCTACTTCATGGCTGACGATTGCAGCTGCGAAATTAATTGCCGGTGTAATGTTTTTATTTGAGCTCCTATGCTAATAGAACCACATGATACAACATAATTACGCTTTAATTTTCTTAATGGTAGCAGTCGTAGTTATTTTGTACGTTGTTTAAGTTTATGACATATGGTAGCCTACCTGTTTCTTTCACGAACGTAAATTCTTCCACGGTCTTTGAATGCATCATTAGCACGCGCAAGCTAGCTCGTGTTAGCTTGCTAATTGGCAGCAAGTGTACTTTGGATGCTAACTGTTAAAGTCTCAATTAACATAATGAGAATGCAAGTGATATTGACATGGTGGTATTTCATTTCATGGAAAGCAGTATGCAATTCGTCATCCGGTTTTTTAAATGGCTTTATCTAACAAGTGGTTAGGGTCTGCATCACAGCTGAGTGGTCGTGGGCTTGAACTCCACATTCCTTCCCACCACGTTCTAAAATAATGCAATGTGCGTTGTGTACAATTACAGGAAACTCACAAACTGTACAGGCAAAAACTGGAGGAGCTGACCAATCTTCAGCTCACATGCAGCAGTGCCATCGGAAAACAAAGGAAATGTCTGAAAGACCTCCAATGCAGTTTAACCAAGTAAGAAAATTTGTTGACCAGGTGAATGAAAGCCCATCAAACCACTCATGTATATTTTGTGTGTGTGTGTGTGTTTCTGTTTTTCTTGCAGATGCGTGCAAGGCTGCGATGAAAAACAGAAGCAAGTGGTCGCGGACATCCAAACCCAAATCAAAGAGAAAGAGAACGTATTCTTTGACATGGAAGCATATTTACCAAAGAAAAACGGGTCAGTGCCTTCGGGACCTTTGCCAAGGCTTACACATTTGTCCACATTCATCATTCATTCAAGGGAACAAAATGTAATGCCAACCTCGTCTATGAATTGAACACGCTAAATTGTCACCTGGCACCAGTTCAGGGTGACGACAGCTGCGATAGGCTCCAACACGCCCGCGACACTCGTCAGGATAAGTGGCTAGGATAATAGATTGATGGATCTTTGAATTTAAGTAAAAATAGAATTCTATTTAAAAAAGGTTCCCATTCAGTGGTGCCTTGATCAACCAAAAAAATATTTTGTGTTTTTAGGAAGAAAATTAGTACTCTATAATATTGTACTTCATAAAAACAGAGAGCAATCACATACCGGTAATTAGACATCACCAGGGCACTGTATTTTATAGTAATGCAGACACAAATGAAGAATAACAGTCTCACAACTACTGTAAGAGACTCGGCGAGATACAGCAATATCTATGGAAGAGAAAAAAAGCATGTCTGTGACTATTGTCGGTTTCGTGGTGTGTGTTGCCATGAGTTGCTGCACCGTTTGTGTTCAGATATCCATCGGTTAGTCTTATAACACCACCTCATGTATGCTATACATTAAACCGTCTATGACGTTTCACACATAATGATGAAAACCTCCTTAGCGGCGGTAACCATCAAGTCACTCAAGCGGTCTTTTTTTTTTTTGTCTGTCAGATTGTATCTGAACTTGGTCCTGGGCAACGTGAACGTGACGCTCCTCAGCAACCAGGCCAAGTACGAACCTCACTTCTCCCACTCGCTCGCTCACCTCCCCACTGCTGGATGTTGCAGCTTGGCGTAAATCATCTTCTGTCCTTGATATTTCATGTAGGTTCGCCTACAAGGACGAGTACGAAAAGTTCAAGCTATACATGACCATTATCCTCTTGTTGGGGGCCATCACGTGCCTCTTTTTCCTCAACTATCGGTGAGTACAAGGGATGACATGCTTTCGATGTTTAGCATCAGTGTTGAGTATCGATAATGATGTGAAGGTCCTGTTATACACAACAATTTATTTTTTATCTTCAAAGTGTTTAATCAGCTAATATTAGCTTTTTTGTCATCAGCAAAAATTGGCCAATTTTATTGCATATATATATATTTTTTTAACCACATAAAACATAAAACAAAAATAATGACATTCAACCCCCCCCCCCCCCCCACACACACACACAGCCGAATTTTGTTGATTTATCTCTCCATCGGACAACGTATTTAAGAAGTTCTGCCTGTAATCCATTTCTATGTTCTTCCATGTTCCAAAAATAACATGTTTTTGACAAATGATTATGACAGCGTCACAGATGAAATTTTCAACTTTTTGCTGGTGTGGTACTATTGCACATTGACGATAAGGGAAAGCATCCTCATGACCAACGGGTCCAGGTTAGTTCAATGCCATGCGACTCGATTGTTCTTGCAGCGTGAGAAACGTCTAACTAATTTTATTTTTTTGGGGGGGGGTGCGTCAGGATTAAAGGCTGGTGGGTGTCTCACCATTATGTGTCCACCTTTCTGTCTGGTGTCATGCTCACCTGGTGAGTTTTTTTTTTTTTTTTTATGAATACTGCGCAACCTCTATCAGTCGTACAATTTGTTTCCATGCAAGGCATCAGTGTGTACCACTACACTACCCGAAGAACGTCAACAATAATAAAACGGATACTGGGTGAAATGCTCTTCAAGAATCGTACTGAGAGTAGATTGTAGGGTTCAGAATTTTTTTGAGGGGGACTGGCAATTTCCATAATTTCATATGGGGGGGGGGGGTTGTGAAATCCAAAGAAATCTGAGGTCCAAGAACTGATTATGTTCAACCTTAGAGAGTTTCTTGCAAAGTATTAGGAAAGGTGTCTTTTGCATACGACGTGTGTTGACTTGACTTTGTCGTGATCACATTTCGTCACAGGCCAGAGGGGCCCATGTATCAGAGGTTCCGAAATCAGTTCCTGGCTTTCTCCATCTATCAGAGTAAGTGTTGTGTTTTTTTTTTTTTTTCGGTTTTTTTTTTGACTGCGTTAATGATTCAACACCACATTTTAGGGCATTCTGTACAGTGTCCTCTCTGGTTGGCTGCTGTTGTTGTTATTGTGTGGAGAAAAAAAAAAAACATACAGTGCGACCTTTCCTTTTTTTTTTCTTTTTTTTTTTTAGCTCTGTGTTTTAGTAAAAACGGTATGCAAGTAATCATTCAATTAAAATGTTTTGCACATAAAAGCAAAATCAAAATGGCCTTGGACCTGAATAAAAGTTTGAAAATATTCTTACATGTTAAATACCGATAATACCCTCAGTAAAAATGATTCGCATTAACCTGAAACCAGAAATGAAATTCAGTTTACTCAATTCACACAAAAAAAAGGCAGATGCCTCGTTTTCCATTTGAACTTTTCGATTACTCTCTATAAAATAATTTTTATTTCTTTACACTCTCTTTTAGTATGTTTATAGACTTTACGTTTGGTTTTTTTCTTTATAAAAAGCCTGGAACCAGTGGTGATGTTTTTTTTGTTGTTTTTTTTTGGGGGGGGGGTGCTACAATTGTAGGATTTTAATTCATGTCCAAGATGCACGTTGAGCCAAAGTCAATATAGCAGCACTGAACTGGTCTTTAGCCGGCCGCATGCCATACTTCATTTACCCAATGTTGTACAACGCTGCAGGTTTTGTGCAGTTCCTCCAATACTACTATCAGAGTGGCTGCTTGTACAGGCTGCGAGCTTTGGGGGAGAGGAATCAGCTGGACCTCACAGTGGGTGAGTGGGATAAAAAAAAAATAATAATAATAAAGAAAGAAATAGAGCAAAGGTTGAAGATTTAGGCAACTGGTGACATTACAATACAAGCACTCATGATCGTTTGTGTCTCTGCAGAGGGATTTCAGTCGTGGATGTGGAGAGGCCTCACTTTTCTTTTGCCCTTTCCAGAAATGAAATTCAGTTTACTCAATTCACACAAAAGGCAGATGCCTCGTTTTCCATTTGAACTTGGTGGTGATGTTTTTTTGTTGTTGTTTTTTTTTTTTTTTTGGGGGGGGGGGGGGCTTACATTTGAA